TTTCATGAAATAGAAAGGGAAGGAGCACTGCCAAAGTCATTCTATGAAGCCTGCAGTAAATTCATACACAAACAGGACAAGGACACAACAACAACAAAAGAGAATTATAGACCAATATCTTTAAGGAAAAATCCTCCATAAAACACTGCCAAGCTGAATTCAACAACAAATATAGAAGAGCATACACCATGATCAAGGGAGTTTCATACCAAGAATGTAGGGATGGTTCAACATACACAAATCCATAAGGCAATGCAGCATTTTAACAGAAGCAAAGACCAAAAGCACATGATCACCTCCAAAGATGCAGAAAAAGCATTTGACAAAATGCAACATTTTTTCACGATAAAAGCTCTGATGAACGAGGCATAGAAGGAATTTATCTCAACATAATAAAGGCTATATTCAACAACCCTACAGCCAAAATCAGACTAAATGGAGAAAAACTGAAACCTTTTCCTCTAAAGTCAGGAATGAGACAAGGGTGCACACCCCCTCAAGTCTTATTCAATATAGTCTTTGAATTCCTGGGTATTTCAGTAAGACAGGAAGAAGGAATTCAAGAAAGAAAGAAAGAGGTGGAGCTATCCCTGTTTGTTGTTTTTGTCTACATGACATATATATTCGTGATAGAGGAGTATAGAAGTCTTCCACTATCACTGTGATTGTGTTCATCTGTGTTCACAAGTCCAGTGATACATATTTGGTAAAGTTGGGTACAATGACATTGGGTATGTTTAAGTTAGCAATTGGGTTATTTCCTCTTAATGCATTTCTCATTTTATTACTATGAATTGACCTTCTATGTGTCTTCTGAATAATTTAGGTTTGAAATCCACTTTTTCTGAGAAAAGTATAGCTACTCCTGCCTCTATGGTGGGCCATTAACTTGGTAAAACTTTTCCCACCACTTCACCCTAAGCCAATGTTTGTGTCTGTCTATAAGGTGGTTTAATTATCAGGTCTGTCCTCTGACCCCCTTCCTCAGATTATAGGTTTTGTGATTGAGTTTTCTTTTTGTTTAAACCTGGGATATCAGAAGTCATAATGATGTCCTTGCAGAGAGCCCACATGCATAAAGCTGAATCAATTCAAAGAACTGAACTGCCTAGAACAATCAAGGTTGAACTTTCTTATCGTGGCAGTCCCTCACCATCCTTGAAGAATCCCATTTATGGTGCTAATACTTAATATCTGTAAATGTCACATTTCATTCTCACAGTTCATCATGGGTAGATTCTGAAACAATTTCCACAAAATTGTCATGAATGTTCTTCTCATAATCTTATTAATGGCCTTTGCATCTGTTAGGTAATCTCTTATTTCCCATCCCACAACACTTTTTATAGGGGTCATTGTGAGGGATTAGTGAATTAGACATGGCAGAACTCAGGGCTTCACAAGCATAGAACCTTGCAGGAAATCGTTAGAAGACATCTGTTCTGGAGGCTGTCAATTAGGTCAGATATTGATTTAGACTGCATTACACTTTTTGTTCTTCTTTTTCTTATATTGTGCAATGTATTTCAGTATTATCACCATGAAATGATTGGCGTGGGTGGTGAGATGAGCCTTAGGAATTTGTGAAATTCAGCAGTTGTGTACCCTAGAAAAACTTCATTAATGCACTTCATAAGTGTTTTCAAAGATTCAGTATTGGGCTGGCAAAGTGGCTGAAGTGGTCAAAGTGCCTGCCAAGCAAGTGTGATGCTGGGATTTCAAATGACAGAGCAAACAACAACAACAACAACTCAGTATTTTCAGAGGCCCAATAAAATATGTTGATTTCTTTCAGAATCTGAATTAAGATGTACGTAATTCAGTTTGGATTTTATTTATCTGTGAACTGATCAAATGAGAAAAAGTGTTTTAGTATTCATCTATTATAGAATAAGAGCCTCTAACAGCATGTGTGCTCAGATTCATGAAGTCTTGAAGTTGCTTCTGGAGTATTAAGTACAATTCACCACATTGTGGAATTGTGCCAAAAAAGAGGATGCATAGTGAAATAAACTAGAATTTAAGGATTATATACTGTATGATCCCATTTGTAAATCCTAGGTAATGAAAACAATGAACTAGAATGAGGGGCAGTTGCTGGGTGTTCACCCTGCTGGCAGAAGAGGAAGGTTTCTTGTCTCACTTCTCTTAGAACTGAAGCACTGTGCGAGCACTGAGGCATTGTTGTAAGCATCATAGTAGTAATCAGCCTCTTCCTCAGGCTAGACCCCCGTGATGGTCAGAGTGGCTGAGTTGCCAGACTTGGAGCCAGAGAAGCGATCAGAGATCCCTGATGGTTGATTGCTATTACCATAGATGAGGAGCATGGGGGAAGTTCCTTGCAGCTGTTGGTACCAGTGCACATTATAGGTGCCAATGTTACTGCTGCTTCCAGCACAGGAGATAGTGACTTTCTGTCCAAGGTTCCCAGGCACTTAGGATGGCTGAGTCAATACAGATTGTGCCCAGGATCCTTAAAGAGGGAAAATCAGATAGTAATTTGGGGTCAAACTGGAAGAAATAGCAGTGACCCATGGTTTTTTCAGGCTCTACCCACAGAGCATATCTAGTCACCTGAGCAGTATGTGAGGAAGGTGATTAAAGAGGACAAGGTCATGATGGAGTTCTGTGAGTCCTTCTGTGCCTCAAAGTTGGACAGAGCTCCCTCAAGTCTTCCCATTGCCCTTCTTCATTCTCTGAAAATGGGGCATACCCACTTATGGAAATGTGGATTCTCTATCATTTTGCTCACACTCTGAGGCCATGGTGTGAAGATATCTCTGATATGTAGGAGTATGGATGGATGGGCTTTGTTGTTGAGGGAGTCAGTGTGTGAGCCTTGAGAGGATGACTTAAGGCAGGGTCACTTAGCTCATTCTAGATCTCCTCACCCCAGCAAATTCAATAACAGTCTTCATGTGCTCTTTTGCATCTGGGTCCCATACTCTGCATTTCACAATGGTGGTATAGACCCTCAGAAGCTGTCCTGCCTTCCCAATGATCTCTTTATACATACTAAGTCAAACTTGCCTGTGGTGTCCCTCTGTAGACTCACTCTGACCTCAAACTTCTTCATTTTTTGCTATACACAGACTGCTCAGGGGAAAAATCTTTACACAGCAAGCTTAAATTCTCATTGGTCCTGAGTGACATGATGTGTCCTGGGCAAAATCCTTTCAGATCAGGATGGAGGAGACAAACATGGATGATTTGGTGTTAGTAATAGGCAACATGGTATTTGCCAGTTTTTCTGAAACTCTGAAGACTGATTCAAAGTCTTAAAAATTTACCATAAATACTGTATTTTGAAATGATATTTGACCATGATTTACTATTATGTTGTATTCCTCATAATATATCAGAAGGAAAATATTATATTTTATACTGGTATGTTTATATTACATAGTACTTGTGTTTATTTTTTATAATCTTTTCTATTTTATCTAATAAGAATAACCAAAGATTAACCTGCCTTATCTCCTAAGTCTAAAAAGTGGACTACCATTAAGTTCACATATTTTAATTTTTTTTGGATCCTGGAATTTTTCCAAAGACATAGTACATATATTCTTTTGTTAATTCTTAGCTCTTTTAGATACATGATCTTTATTAATAATGCAGTATAGATAAGTATTGGTGTTTTAAAATTACACGAACTTGAGAATGATGGTTTAGTTTTAAAGTGTAAGGACTCTAGGACTGATTTTTTAACACATTACTCAATAAGGAGAGAAGAACCTGGTGGAAATCTGTGGAGAACCCAATCCAGTGGAGCCAGGCAAGTCTGTTCAGGATTCACAACAGGTGGATTTATGTCCCGAGGGGCTGAGACACAGCTGAATGTGAGTCATATGCAGTGACATATGAAATGACAGTGACAACACTTCTCTGACCAAGACCCAGGAGGTGAATAATCACTGCAGTGACCAGGAATTGTCCAAACTACAGCTTTGTATAATTCAGAATAAAGTTTTCTACATGAAGTGTGTACCAAAATTAGAGATTCTTGTGCTTCTTCCATGTGTTTGGTCCTCACCTGAGGAGAAAGGTAGAGAAGAAGAAACAAGAAATGTTGGGAAGCTAAACCACTGTTTTAGTTTCTTGAGACATCTACTTCCTCTATTCTTTTGGTAAGACAAGGCTTTTGTAGCATTTTTTACCTGTTTGTTCATCTTCAGAGGATATTGAATTTCAGATTGTGTTTTGAATGAGACAGGGTGTGTGTTGTTTTTGGGGTGACGTTGGTGTTGATATCTCTTAGATAAAGGACATGTCAGGTTAATACACTGAAGGGTTGACTTTGAGCTTGATTTCTCACTCCTGTAATCCCAGTTCCTAACAGGTGGGGACAGAAGGATGGCAAATTTGGTGCTATCTCATATAAAGACCCTGTCTCAAAACAAAATTCAAAAAAAGCCTGTGGTGTAGTTCAAGTGGTAGAGTGATTACATTTTTTTGTATAAGGTCGTGTGTTCAATCCTAAACATATCAAACAGAGAAGACTAAACTTTCCAATTAAAAATGGCAGGTATTTTCCCTCTCAGCCCACAAAATCAACAAAAATGTCCAGATGTGATTTGTTAATATCAAGTTGATCATAATATATTCATGTGCTGATGCCAGAGAAAAATTAGAATCATGTAAAAGCTGTACATTTTCAATAATACTAATAATTTAAAATATCTGAAGTGATTAATAACATATTTAGGTAAATTCAGAGCAATTCCTTTTTTGATCTCTTAATCTATAAAGGTTAGAAATACTCGCCTAATGTGATCCCACTTGTGGACAAGATGTTGATAGAAATGTATATAAGTGCAGTGATAGAGTTATACTAACTGATGTATTAGTTTCATAGTATGATTGTAACCATGTATCACAAACTTGATGCTTATGAACACCAGAATGTGTCTTGTCTTAGTTTTGGAGGCTAATTGTTCCAAATCCACTCCTAGGACCATATTTTCTATGTCACCTCTAGGCAAATCCTTCATTCTTACTCCCAGGTTCCCAGTTTTTGACAGTAATCTCTGGTGCTCCTTCCTGCACTTGCGTAAGTCCATTCTGTGCGTCCATCTTCATGTGACTTTCTTTCTCTGTTTTCTTATCTTCCAGAGTTTCTTCCTTATGAACATATCAGCATGATGAGTGTTGAGACCACATTATTCCATTGCAGTCTAATCTTAACTGATGATGTGTGGATGACACTGTTCAAACGGGGCCTTATCCTGTATAATGGGGGCTAGCATTTTAATATACCTTCCTAGGGAGAAATCTTATCACACATTATGAAAAAAATCCATTTCTAAAGTTTTGTAATTTTTAGTATTTTGAAGTGCTATGATGGATATTTGCATGTAGATGTGTGAAACTAGAGCACTAGCTCCTACTCTGTGCAAAAATAAAATCAAAATTGATCAAGGACATCAATGTCAAACTGCAAACTTTAAAACTGCTACAGAGATGTATAGGGAAAGCCTTCCAAAATACAAGCATAGGAATGAATTTCTGTATATACTACCAAAAGCCCAGGAAATAGAGCAAGAATTGACATGTGCACAGCAAATAAACAATAAAGAAGGAGAAGGTTAATCCTGCAGAATGGGAAAATATGTCAGCTAATATTCAGTATCAGGTTATCAATATCCAGAATAAAAGGAACTCAAAAATAAAAATAGTTATATCAATAAATGGGCACATGAATTGAATAGACAATTCTGAAATGAAGGTTGCAAATGCATAAGAAACACATGAACAAACTCTTCAACATACTTAACCATCAGAAAATTTAGTCCAAACAACAATGTTATTTCACCTCATGCCAACCAACATGGAAATCATCAAGAAATCAATCAACAAGTAAACAAATATCAAAACAAACTGGTGAGGATGTGGCAGGGGGAATTCTCATTTACTGTTTTTGAGAATTTGAATGAGGGGTGACACAATGAAATTCACCAGGGATATTCTGCAAAAATAGGACTCCCATATGACCCAGAAAGAACACGTGTGAGTACATACATAAGTTAGTTTATGACAGCACTTTTCATAATAGCCAAATTATGGAATCAACCTTGATGTGTATTAATGGATGTATGGATAAGAAAATGTGGTCTGTGTATGCAGTAGGGTTTTACTCAGCCATTATAAAGAAAAATACCATTTGTTCAGAAATGCATGGAATTGATAATCATCATGTTAGGTGAAATAAGCCAGTCCCGCAAGGACAAATATTACATGCTTTCTCCCATTTGCAAATGTTAGGGGAAATCAAAAGCAAAAAGTAAACAAATCCTAAAAATAAAGCATAGACTGGGATAAAGATCAAAGTGAAAAGGAGAGTAGAGAAGAGGTAAGGGAATTAGATCAATGGAGGGGTAAATATGATCAAAGTACCTTGTATACCTGTATAAAAAAGTCACAATAGAAACCTCTGATATGTAGAATTAATACACACCAATAAAAAATAACAAAATTGGAAAGCAACTTTTACTATTTTATTGTATTATTTTTATTATATCAAAATTTTTTTATTCTATTAAAATTGATACACTTTTTATTTTACTAAAATTCACTTAATATAATTAGTATTAGTGACATAAAAAGGGAGATTCCTGTACTTTGCTCTTATGTTTATGAAAGATCATTAGTGGATGCTGTTCTCTGGACAAAATGTGCTGATCTTAGTACTCAGATTTCATCCAACTATTAATGTTGGGGTGGGAAAATAAATAATCCAATTTCATTGGTTATGGGATACCTTCACTTAAGGACTCAAACAGGACTAGATGTCAAGTCAGGACTTTGCTTTTACTTTTATGTGTATGGATAATCAATATTTAAGTTCTTGAAAGCAGAGTCTGGTCTGTTTATACCCAGGTTCAACCACACGCTTGTTAGATCTTGACTCTGAAACTGCATAAAACACTGTGCTGAACTGCTGCAAAGTAGCAATCAGTAGCAATCTGTCTTGTGCTCAGGTTTGGCCACTGAGAAGTTCATGATAGATTTGTCCCCATGAAGGGAGGCACAGAAACCAGTGGCCATCCACAGGTGTATATGGCCTGTGTTATGAAATGGTGTTCTGGGCCCATGCCATTGATTTTTCTGAAATAAGAATGGGTAGTGAGCATTGCTGAGTACTCAGGTCCTGGAGCCTCAGTGAGAGTGACTATTCCTCCTGAGGACATAGTCAGTGAGTGCTCATCAGTCACCATGTCTGAGAACTGGATCTTGATACCAAATTCAAACAGTCTAGGAATGAAGATGGAAGATGGGGGTGGGGGGTAAACCTAACATCTCTGTTACTCTGGATTGTAAGTAAGGAGAAATGGAAGAATAGGTGACCAGCCATGATGTGGACATTTAAAAATTTCCTTGTATTTCTGTGAGTTGAATATTCTAATTGGTCTTTGTATCCTATTGAGTTTAAAGCATGGAGTTGGGGTGTTTGTGTGGAATATTATGCCAATATGAGTACTTTACAATTCCCTTCCACCATATGATCCCGAGCTCTGGGACCAGTTTCATCATCAGAGGGAGAGTGCCAGAATCCGTTTGATGAGGATTTGCCTGTGAGAGGCACTACCTTCTCTAACATTGTACACAGATAACAGAGAAACTGTCTAGGGTCAAATAAATTTGAAACAGTTGAGTTTCCTTAAGTTTTCTGAAAATGACCACAGTGCCCTCTGGAGGTCTCTGGGTCTAAAGACATATGGTAAATACCATTTTACAAGTGACTGATTTTTATGACATTGCCACTATTTGATCCAGGCAATGTCACATTCATTTTCCTTTCTTTTCTCATTCACACACATTCTCTCTGTGACTCCCTGTCTCCACCTGGACATTGTCATATGAGAATGTCAGACATACTGAACCAAATGGCCTCATCTTAACTAATTTCATCTGCAATGATACTACTTTTTAACAAGTTCAAATTCTGTTTCGCAGGTTCTCAGGGAATTGACATAACTTTTCAAGAAAGATATATTACACATAACAGAAAAGAAGAGAATCAGTTCCATATATGTGCTAATTTTAATATTTTTTAAAGTGATATGAAAAACATGTATGCTATATTAAAATGAACTTCAACATAAAAAAGAATTTTCTGGATGTAACTCATGCTAATATGAGGCCCCAAGTCCAAACCTAGTATCACCAGGGAAAAAATTGTTTTTCATTTTGTTTGTGATTCCAAAAAAAAAAATCATGAAGAAAATGTATCGATCTCAATCATCATTCTGAACCATCATTCTCTGATCTTTTGTAAAAATGTAATAAGTAAACTTTTTAATGCAACAACTCCACTGTAATAATTTACCAATACTGTCCAATTAGGACTCAAACAGGAGCAGGAGTTAATTGCAATCCCTTCACCTTCCTCTCCATGTAAACAACATAAGTTTCCTTGAAGCTCATTGTGTTCCCATGGACTCACTCTATCACCTGATCCTGGATCTATCCAGATTCATTCAAAGGCATGTTTATGTCTAGGTTACCCATCTAGGTTTCTTAATTCTGAGTGATACTGCAATATAGCATGTAGCATCACTCAACCTATTCTAAGGTTAGGAAACCAAGCAGTTCATTCCAACTCTGTCCCTATGCAGGAAGTCTGAGAGCATGACTGGTGACCAGCAGTGCTTTTGCTTGTATATTCTTTCAGTGTTCAGGTGCTTTTGCTGTAATGCTTATGGAATGTGATCATTGATGACTGCAAAAAAGTAACAACCACAGTGACATTGACTTTTCTACAGATAGGGTCAATAAGGACTCCACAGTCAGCACAACCTAAGAACTGGAACCTCAAATGAAAATACCAACAGTTTGGAATTTGGAAGGAAGAAAAGCAAATCAGTTCAAAGGTAGTGGACATAGACCTAGATAGAGAAGTTGGAGAGACAGTGGGAGAAACAGATATATTCATGAGGTAGTTTTGATAATCCAAAGAACTTCAAAGCCCATAGAGGCTACTGGACAGTCCTCTGGATCTTTTCTCTCCTTCTCAACTTCTTGAATTAAAGGTCTGTGCTTATGTGGTATATTATCTAAACATGATTCCTTTATCAATAGGAACACCACATCCAATTCTGGATCAGCCCAAGCATCAGCTTGACGATGAGGGAACCTGAGGAAGTGTGAGCTCTGAATTTTCCCTGCAGGAATAAACATTTGTTTATTCTCTATGTCAGGACACTGAGCACTTCCTAGGAGCACTTCATGTGAACACTGAGTCTGTTTCAGGCCTTGCCACTCTCTAAGAAGACCTACAGTGTCCTGTGCTATACTTTGGTAATTATGTGTAATTCTTTCTCTGGTTGTGTTAAATATTTTCTCCAATGACTCAACTTTACTTCCAATACTTCTGTTCTTTAGTCCCCTGTAGTTTAACTTTAATATCATTTATTACAGTTTTTATTTTTATTATGTGTGATTTGGTTGTTTTTATAACTTGTTTATTTTCTGATATTTGGCTATTTTCTATTTGTTTCAAGAACATATGAAATTTTTCCACAAAGGGAAATCATGATTGCTACTTTTAAAGCTATCTGCAAAATAGCTTCAGCATCAGAGTTACCTTACTGCTGATTTCTGCAGATTTTCTTTGCACATTCAGGTTGCGAATTTCCTGATACTTGGTGGAAGTGATATTTACTTTGTTTTGAAGCCATTTGGTATATTATATAAAATGACATAGGTCTGTCATATATGAGAACATACTTGCTTTTATTTTCTGCATTAATTGGCTGCGTATCTTTGCAAAAGAAACAGGACACACCTCCTTTGGCAGGTTTCAGCTTTTTAAACAGTTAAAATTCTGTTAGGTTTGAGTCACCTCAAGCACTAACTAAGATGTTTTCCATCTGCTGAAGTGCTCCAGAAGTCTGAGTACATTTTACTCGCTATCTTAGTTTTCTTCCTGAAATTGGTCAGTAGGCCTCAGGGATATTTATACTTGAAGGGTAGGTAAATATATTTTTTTCTAAAGTGAATGCCAGGTTGAGAGAAACAGGTTTATGTTCATCTCATTGTGGAAGGAAAAGGAAATCTTTTGATCAGAAGGAAAG